CAAAAAATTAAAACATTCGATGGATCTCTTTGTATTCTTATTAAATGAGTCAATTTGGATAATTAATGCATTTGAATTGTTTGTTCATTAACGTGTAAGACTGATTAAATGAGTCAATAACAAGACTCTCCTACAATCTAGATAAAAATTTTGGAGGCAATTTATATAAAAAAAAAANCAATTCTTTGTCACAAACGTAAGACTAGAATAAAAACTATTGGTGCCAAAAATTTGAAGTGGAGGGAAACTAACAAGAGTTTAAATTATTTGGGAGTCTATAAATTAAATCATCTATGGCTTTCTAAATANTCCATCGATCAATGGATTTTGATTTGAACTTATCACCTTCAAAAAATCAAGAAACATACTCATTTGATTTGAATCTTCCACCGGTGAATAATGATGATCATGCTCCTCCAGTAGACGATTATGAAGTTATTGATGAATCAGTTCATCTAAATGAGGAAACAATTGTTGATGATGGAGGAACAATANCCATAAGGGTTGTATCATCGTCGGAAGGTACTCTTTTAATCGATTTAAATTTAAGCCCGATGGANGAGTCGGATACTCATTTTTTTGAGCTCAATCTCAATCAATTGTCTCAAGAAAGTGAAGATCCCCTTGTTGAAAATTCAGGTATATATCAAATCATTTTTTTGTCCACATACTATAGATAGATACTAGTACAATCTTTTTTTNTTCTTCGTATTAGCTACTAACTTCATACGTTGCCTTTATCTTGTGATTTTTTTTGTTTACTCGTTACATAGAATGTCANTTGTACTTGAGCTATGTAATGTTTAACGTACTCATCATACTTGTTACAGCCCAAGTCAATCATCAACCATCAAGTGGAACCAAAAAGAATATTTCTNATGCTCTAAGGCGGGATGTCTATAATGCCTTGTTGGAAAGAAGCAACAAAGGAAANTTGAACAAAAATACAACACGAGAAGTAGCAGAGTTGTTCTCGATTCATATTCGGACAGTTCAACGAATTTGGGAACGGGCTAAAAAGACTCCCATTGGTGAATCAGTTGATGTATCGGAAAGAAAGACAAAAAATTGTGGTCGTAAGAAAGTACCAATTGATCTAGAGCGGATTGTTGATATTCCTTTTCATCAACGAACAACTTTGAGGACATTAGCAAAAGCTCTTGGGGTCAGTCATGCATCACTCTATAAATGTGTNAAAGAAGGTGCTCTACGGCGTCACACTAATGCTTTGAAACCACATCTCAAAGAAGAAACTAAGGTAGCACGTCTACGATTTTGTCTATCTATGTTGGATCAACATAGTTTGCTTCAAGAGCCAAAATTTGTTGATTAGTACAATATTGTACATATCGATGAAAAATGGTTTTATATGACTAAGAAGACGGAAAAATATTACCTACTTCCGGAGGAAGATGAGCCGCTACGAACATGTCAAAGTAAGAACTTCATTGGAAAAGTGATGTTTTTAGTTGCAATGGCTCGTCCAAGATTTGATGATGAAGGAAATGAATTGTTTTCGGGAAAGATTGGAGTATTTCCTTTTGTCACAATGCAACCTGCACAAAGAAGAAGTAGAAATAGAGAAGCGNGGATCGTAGAGATAAAACCGATCACTTCGGTGAAAAGGGAACACATAAGAAGATTTTTAATCGAAGAAGTTATTCCCAACATTCACGAAAAGTGGAAAGCTGAAGACGTAGGGAAACCTATATTTATTCAACAAGATAATGCCAAGACACATGTCAATCCAAGTGATACCGAATTTCAAGAAGNTGCTTCAAAAAATGGGTTCGACATTCGATTGATGTATCAACCGCCGAGTTCTCCGGATCTGAATGTTCTTGACCTTGGATTCTTTAGTGCAATTCAGGCCTTACAACATCAGGTATGTCCCAAAAACGTTGAAGAACTTATTAGTGCCGTCAAAAAATCTTTTGAGGAATACCCAACAAGAAAGATCAACCATATTTTCTTGACTTTGCATGCAAGAAACTATGAGAGTTGGAGGATCTAATAACTACAAAATTCCACACATGAAGAAAGAAGCATTGGAAAGAGAGGGTCTTCTACCTAAGCAAATAATTTGTGATCCTGCTATAGTAGAGAGTGTGAGAAACCAACTAGAAATTTAAGTTTAGCTTCGTACGTCTCT